ATTGGGGAATGTCATTTAGTGTGCTGATGTATTGCGATAAGCATATAATGAGGCTAGGAGTTACTGTTAGATGAAATTAGTCACCATGTTGTATCGAGCTGGTCTCTGTCAGTTTTAAGCCATAAATCCCTTGTGTGTGTTGGGAGAGGGGTTGCTGCTGCTGTCTTGACAGTCCTCGCAGCAGTTTGCCCCGTGCCCTACTTCAGTGTGGCACCAAGGGCGTTCGTTATACTTGTGCTGTGTAGCTGCTCACCGCACTCTGTCCTCCTCCACTTCATGGTGGTCGTAGGAGCTCCGATCCTAAAGGAAAACACACACACGCCGACTAACTGCTCTTCCTGTAAATAACACCAGAACCCAGGCTTGCCTATACATCCACAGAGGGAAATAAAGCTGAGTGCAATTGCTTTTGCTCTCGCAATGGCTCTGACTTGACTGGAGAATGAGGGATAGAGACCAAAACAAACCTGTAGTCCAAACCTAGTTTCCCACAAAGCCATGAATTCCATCTTGAGGTTCTAAATGTGTCACTTCAACAGGATTCTAGATCTTTCCCCATAGATTACCATCCCATTATTAGGTATAGAACAAAAAGATGTGGACACCCGAATTTGTATATGTATGTGAGTGGTTTTGCTGTAGCTTTTCCCACCTTCACCAGTATTAATCACATCCTTGCAGGCTGCCTTAGCTCCCTGCTTGTGAGTCATAGGTAGCACTTACATAAAATCCATGCCTATATTTGTATTATCTCTCTTCATCAGTTTGTTCAGTGTTGGTATCCTGCTTCGTGCGTCCTAAAACCTAGTTTAATACTATGGAGTCATCTATGTCCCACTGTACTCACAAAGCTAGCCCCACAATTCAGACTCATAGGTGACAAGGGCTGACTGGATGGAGCAGCAACACAACGAAAGTTGTAAGAAGCACCCACAGACATGCAGGGTGGCACTTGGTCATCAGTGGGTTGAACTTACTCAAAAAACACCTCACAGAAGATGCAGCTACAGTGCAATGGATATAAACACCATATCAGATATTTCTCGAATAAGCCTATATAACAATTTTCTCCTTATATAATCGACATTCTGAAGTCAATGCCTTTTATGTAGAATACACTTAGCATTGGAAAAGAAAGAGCCTCCAGGGGCTATATAGCCTCTTTTTTCAACAAAACCAGAAGACTTTACCTTTCATTAGTTGTTTCGTGTGTGTGTGTGTGTGTGTGTGTGTGTGTGTGTGTGTTTTAAAGATGCCAGAATAAATTTATTTATGAAAGATTCACATTGGAATCAGGAGGTTTATTTTGAGTATCACTAGAAAATGACACCCTCCAATCAAACATCCCATTCTCCTGGGTTTTCAGGCCAGTCGATGCAGCGTGTCACATTCCTGGCATAGAGCTGATGACAGTTGCCTCCATGCTCCAGAAACCCGTTCACTATCAATGCATTCATAGAAATAACACCGGAGCTTATTTAAAGCATTTGGGTCAACAGAATAGAAGGCTGTGAGTAAGAGCCATGGATGAAAACAGGTCAGACTCAAGCAGCCAAAGAGGTCTGAGAGGCCCTTTTAAACATGATGCATTGTTTTATGAATTGAGATTAACCTTGCTCAAACTCCCAAAACATGATAGCCAAGTAAAAAGGAAGATCTGATAGGATTTAGTCCATAAGAGGGGTGTAAGACTAATAATTCAGGAATACAATAAAAAACTGAGGGAGAGGGCTTCACTGTTCCCTCTTAACATTACCTGGACACATTCCATAGCGGTTTGACAAGCAAGAGGCCAAGTTTAATTGAACAATCCTTTTCCAACAAAGACTGTTGAGCCTCTTTCTATGTAGCTGCACTTTAGGCAAGCATATTCATTGTTTCAAATAGGTCCCTAGAAGCAGAGCCTGAGATGGGGATTTTTTGCAAGTGTGTTATTAGAGTCTCTTAGGAAATGGAGAGAGATGCAGGATAGGGCAGGGGTAATAGCTGAGCAAAGATGTGATCCCAGCTGGTCAGCTGCTGGGGTCAGCCTGATCTTGAGGGGAACACTGACACACAACTTATACCAGAGTCATCCCAGCTTGAGGAAGGGGCCAGACTCCTGTGAGCCCTTAGCAGTAGCCGGGAGATGGTTGCACCGGGCAGGTGAGCAGCAGGATACTAAGAGATCCACTGTGGTAGCTAAGTTGATGGGACTAACTTTCTAAGAGCCTTGCTTTGTGGATAGGAGACGTGGTTCTCATCCCAACCATGACCTCACTAAGGACACAATGACATGATTACTGGCCCTTCGTGTGACCTCTGTAACCATCTTTTTCTCATCTGTAAAGTGGGAGAGGTAGAAGGTAGGACTGGATTTTAGATAATCCCTATACTCGCAGCTCCAAAGTGCAATGATTTCAACAAGGGAAGTGTCAGGAGGAGGCTCTCTGAGGAATAATTGAAGTCTTTCTACTCATAGAAGGCAGTTAATTAATGTAGCTGTGTCCCTGAATGGCCGCTCCATTAAGTACTCCTGTCTCACCTGGAATAGCTCTGGATACAAAGGCAAATCTAAGGAGACAAGCAGTGAAGCTGCCCTGTAGGCACACGTTATAAAAAGGGATGGCAAGTCTCTGTTTTCGGACAAAGTGCTTTCAGGGCAGCTTACCTCAAGGGAGTGTTCATGCAACCAAGCAACCTCACGTAACTCAGTCATGCATCAAAGCGAATTAGAGGTCAGAGTATGTCCCTGCAAAATGGCACAACCTCTGTAGCAACAGCAATTTAGCAAAACCTATCAAAATTATGTTGATAAATACATTTACTCCTTGGTGGCACAGCCCCTCCTCTGGGAATTTATCCTCCAGGCATATGTGTATGAAACGAATTTATATAAATTTATTCATTATACTGCCCTTTCAGAAAAAGCCCAAGATTGGAAACAATTCAGTAGTCCATCAATAAAGGACTTTTTTAAAACAATAGCAACAACTATTTGACCTTCCATACAATAGAATACTGTACAACCGAGAACGTTCTGAGCTGATATGGAAAGTTCTCCAGGAAATATTGATAAGTAAAAAACCAAGGGGAAGAACAGTATAAATTAGTACGTAATTATAAACACATGCATGTACAATATAAGTATGTTTCTTTCAGTGTACACAATGGAGGTAATAAGATTAAATATTTATATTCAAGTGTATCTGTGGATATCTAAAAGTCCGTTTTGTGTATATGGAAAAAATATCAAAAAAAAACCCTCTATGAGTGTTTACCTACCCATAAGGGATAAGGAAGTAGAAAAATGAGATGGATAGAAACATAAGTGGGATTGAAAATTTTCACCAAATGCTTTTTTTTTTTTTTTTTTTTGCTGCTACTCAAAGCTGTTTAGATTTTATTTGGAGGTTAACAGAAACAAGAGGCTTGCACTTAAGCTAATGATTAACATAATGTAATATTTTAAACTAGAATTTTTTAACACTCTAAAGACTCATATACTTCTTAGCTAATGTTATAATTGTATCATATTACTTAGGTTCAAGTTCTTCCTTCAGAGTCATCAGAATAACATGGATTGAAGGAACTTCCAAACATCTGCCACCTGCTGCTGTTGTTTTTCAGTGTGTAATATCACAACTTACAGTGTCCATCATAATTTGTTTTTGCAATGTAACCATTTCTTTTTTAAGTCCAATTTGTGCAGCAGGGCAGGCTGAGTGTCCTGACTCTTCTCCAGGTCCGCCGTACTCTTTGCAAGCTGCTCAGATAACGGTTTCATTGTTTAACCGCTCTGGCCCTGAGCAACTCTAAATTGTTGAAAAACCATTTGTTGTCAAAACAAATTAGCTAGTTTTCCTTCTTGTTCCTCTGCCTCCTGCACATCTATCTCCCACTGCTGAAACAAAGTCCAAACTGCTGACAAAATTCTTGGTTAAGCTTCTGCCTTAGATCTTGTTGGGTTTTCCAAATATGTTCAATTTTCTGGTTACTGGATTTGAGGGGAGCCTTGGTACACATTGCTGTTCCTTTCTGCTTTGCAAGAAAAATGTCATTAATGTCAACTCCAAAGTGTTCCGGCATGTTCTGTACTTTACCTCCCACGCCTTCGACTATTCCTGCAGAAGTCCTTTTCTTCCCAAGCTATCAGTTACTGGAGTCTTCACATCAGTAACACCTTCCTCCAAATAACTCAGATCTTCTTTATCTTCTTACCAAAGTCATAGGTTCTTACAACCTGATCCTCCACTGATGTCTTCCCGGATCTCCCTGCACGTTTTCTCCCAGAGGGTGACAGAGTTAGATGTTTCCCCGACTGTGGCCCCTGCTCTCAGCCATGACACTCTTCTCCAAATGCCCTCTAATAAAATTTTTTCTGGATCTCTTACAATCACCATGAGTTTTTCTATGAGGAAAATGGAGCAGCTTTTTGATTAAAAAATAATATGAAAATTAAAAGGCAGAAATCCATGAAAACTAGTCATCCTGCCTACCTTATTTTGTGCTTTCACTTTCAGGGATTGGCAAACTTTGGCCAATAGTGGTTAATAGTTGCACAGAGACCATATGGCTCCCAGTACTGAAAATATTTACTGTCTGGCCCTTTACAGAGAGTTTGCCATGTCCAGCTTTAAGTTGCAGAGTTGTCTGTAAAACAGCTGTGACTACACCTACCTGAGCTCCAGGTACTAGAGGGTTTTGCCATCTTGAAATCAGCTTTTCTGACCAAGGGTGGGTTATACACCAAGAAAACGAGGCAGGGTTTGTACCAATTAAGAAAAGCTTGAACTCTGGGGACAGGCAGCCCCGGCTTAAACCTGTGCTTTTTCCTCACTACTGTGTGACCTTACGCAAGTTAACTTCTTGAACTGCGCTTCTTCACCATAAAGGGTAGATCATAATAATGCCTCCTTTACAGAGTTATTGGGAAGATTAAATGTGTTAATGTTGGCAAGATGTTTAACACAATACATGCTAGTATCATAAGCTAATATTTTGATTTTTTTAATAAACAGGGTGATAACCAGTCAAATGTATTTGGAGAGGACACCACAGGAGGTGAGTTTTCTTTACTGAGCAGACCAAAATGATCACTTGAGTGGCTTTAAACATGTCTTTTCTACTAAACAGCAACAAAGAGAATAAACTACCGACAACACATACCTTCCCCTTAGCGAGAGAACACAGTTAAGATGGGAACTCTGCATCTCTCCCCACTTGGTCTATGTGAAGAACCAAAGGGATGCCCTAGGGAGGCATTTCCTCATTGCCCTGAGAACATGACCCCTGAGGTACTCAGTGAAAAGAGGATGCTCTGGTAAAGTATGTTTGGGAAATGCCTAACACTCAGTCGCCTTTGGGAGAGTTGCTTATATAATAGCACAGCAAGGCTTCCAGACAAGTCCTGCAGTGAAGACAGCTAGCTAACTACAATAGAACGTTCTTCAAATTTTTTGGAACACAAGTCTTTTTTCTGCATAGTAGTTACTCTTCTGCAGTGTACCATTGGGACGCAACCTAAGAAACACCCAAATTATACTGCTTTATCATTTGTGTCATGTTAAAAGTCCTGTAAAAAACAAAAAAAAATCCAACCATAATTAGCTATACAGGAAACTGGAAATAGATAAAATTATCTAAATTTGAGATTGTCCAAGAAAGATAAGGTTCATGATTGCCCTAAGTAAAATACCTTCTAACATTATCACTCTGTAATAAATGTTGTAATTATAGTCGGTAGAAATATGTTTATATTGACTGTGAACACATACAAGTAAGTGATTTGGCTTTCTAAGTAGCCCCAGCTCTCATCCTGCACTGATCCGTGAGTATGAGGTGTAGATAGAGCATCATTTGATGATAATGGCAATGGCAGTGTGTGAAAATCTCAGTCACCCAACAACATCATGGTGATTCATGGGGAAGGGCACATAAATGGGAGCCAAGTGCAAATAAACAAGTCAGTCCCAACTAGATAGGGATTGATTGATTGCCTAATAAAGTTTCCTCTTTTCCTGGTTACAAAATTAACACATATTCATTGTGGAAAACTTTTTTTAAAGATTTATTTATTTATTTTTAGAGAGGGAAGAGAGGGCGAAAGAGAGAGGGAGAAACACCAATGTGTGGTTGCTGGGGGCTGTGGCCTGCAACCCAGGCATGTGCCCTGGCTGGGAATCGAACCTGCGATACTTTGGTTTGCAGCCCGCGCTCAATCCACTGAGCTAGGCTAGCCAGGCCCGTGGAAAACTTTTTAAGGTAGAAAATCAGAGTCATCTAAAACCTTATGAATTCTGAATAAGCATGGTTAACATTCCTAGTACATTTTATTACAGAATGTTGTCTATATATTTATTTTCACATAGTTGAGAATACATATGTGTATATAAATATTAGCTCTAATTTTGTTCATGTCATAACATAAGCATTTTCCCATGTCCTTAAATACTCTCTATAACTTTAATTTGTAATCACTACATTATAAGAATGTACCATCATTAATTTTAAAAAATAACTATTTTTTTAAAAACTAGAATAGGGTACAGCTATACCAAAAATAATAATAATAACAACCACAGCTCTTTCCTAGATTGCAAATGGATACAGGTAAACCTGAAGTCCAGAGAACAGGAGATGCCCATCTGGCCCCACACGTTAAGAGCACCAATGTATTTTTTACTTTAACAGAAAGTGCCAGATAACAAGGATTTTCCAGTCACAATGAGCTCCTCTGTGAAAAGACTGGAGCACCTCTCTGATCTAAAAGAAACAAACAAAAAAAGCATCCTTCAGTATAAATCTAAATGATTCCAAAGGCCCCAAATTCACTTTTTTCCTCTGCTTCCTGCTCTTTCTCCCTTGTCCTGTTCCCTTCTGTCACCAACCCAATTTTTTATTTTTTATGTCCATTCTCTCTCTCTCTCTCTCTCTCTCTCTCTCTCTCTCTCTCTCTCTCTCTCTCTCTCTCATGGGGCCTTTCAGCTCATAGTGGATTCCTACAAAAAGGTAGAATTGTATATATAAACGAACCAGCCCAATTCCACTAAAAGTAAGTTTTATAACTGTCAGAGGAACAATCTAACTTTCAAAAGTACTGATTATCTACGTAAGGCATGAAGTGTAAGTCCTCTTACAGTTGAGTGAGTCCTCTGAAGTGTAAGTCCTATCCGTTTACTTAAAGTGTAAAAATTGTAATTTTGTCCTCCAGAAGGGAGATGAAAACCTTCCACTATCTCTCCAGGTAATCACATTCTGCCTGTGGTTTTAGTCAGCTCATACCCATAGGATGAACAAGAGCAGTTCCTGAGTCAGAACAAGAGCCTGGAGCTCCACCTGGACGAGAAACTCAGGGCTGACCCCATCCTGCCCTGCTCTCCAGGGCTCTCCCCGCCGACCTGGCTACTCCAGGAACCTCTACACCCCGGGGGCCTGGAAATCCAACAAAAACACCAAATATCTTCAACTTTAGTGTCTTACTTTAAAACTGCATGCAAATTTTTCATGAAGTAAAACGAATCATAATATCCTATATTACAATATAATATTGTCTACTCAATGTATCTTGCAGTTTGTAAAGCATCTCCCTTAGAAGAAAGGTTAATGAGAATAATATTCAAAATTATCTTCCATCTCATCTGCCCAGCTGAGAGAAGCATTCAGCTTCAGATGTTTTGTTTTGTTTTTTTTTCCAGTACTGTGCTCTAAAAACATGACTGTGAACATTAACTCTACACTCACCCACCCCACTGGTTTAGAATCTTTGCCTGGCCTTTGCCTAAGTACACCAAAGAAGCCTTTCTGAACATTATGTTTGTGGAATCAGCCTGCTGCCCCCACCATCATCCCCAAGGGCGTTAGACAGAGCTGCTCAGAAGTGAGCCAGCTGGAGAAGGGCTTGAACACTGTGAGTTTCTCTGACTGCCCTAAGGCCTGCGTTTAAACTTTCACCATCCTCATTGGCCGGGCTGGCCTTTACATTAGAGCAGTACTTCCCTAAGTGGCTCCTACTGAATCCCACTCTGAACTTCAGAGCATCCTGAGCCTACACCTGCGCTCTTGACCTGCCCAAAAACTCTGCCTGCAGGGCAGAAGGCTGACCCAGCCCTGGCGCAGTGGAGTAAGCACTCTGCTAATTCTCATGTTGTGACAGCAATGAGAAGGTTCAACTCTTGATCACATGTAAAATCTCATCTTTGTAAATAAAGCTCTAGAACCTTAAAGCAAGGGTGAATTATTTGTCTCTGCTCCTCTCTCTGAAACAGTCTTGGGTAGGACTGCTGTTTCCTCTGACTTCAGATCCCCACTCTAAACATTGTTTTTTAGTTCGAGGTGTCCCTGCTTCCAGACTCAGCAGTAACCACTGGCATTTTCTGAGCCCAGAGCCCCCAAGGTCCCAGAGCCATTCCCAATTCAAGTTTTTGGTTGTGGTTACTTCTTCAGGGGACCTCACTCTTATCCAAGGTCTCCTGGAATTTTGGTTTACTTTAGGAGGATGTCTTACACATACAACAATAATAGCATCGTAATTGTAGCCAAGGAACAAAGAGGGCCATTTCGTCACGAGGCCTGTTCATTTACAGGAACCATAGGATCATGGGTATTGGAACCATATCAGCGATCACTGCATCCAACACCTTTATTTTACAGATAGAGAAACTGAGGTGCAAAGAGAAGTCATTTGCCTAGATCAAGTCAGTTGACAATAGGATTGAAAATGTAGCTCTTGTCTACCCATCCCGCAAGGCTACCTACTATACCACGTGACGACTGAAAATCTTTTAGGGCTCCACAAATTCTAGAAGGTTTTGCACTTCGTCAAAATTTCTAGTCACATCTTTGCCATAAAGCAGTAGCTCTCAAAGTTCAGTTCTCACTTGCCACCTTCATGATTTTTGCTGCATCTCTATACTACTTACTATACAACGTATCATTTAGTTAATATTTTTCACCAAATTGACTCACTGTTATTATTTATATACTTTTGTTTTAAAAGGAATTTTACATCACCACCTTAAGTGGAAAATAGCATTATTTTTTGTAAATAGGAACTATTGTTAAATTATTGTCTTCCAGACTCCCTACTTGTTTCTAACTCTTCATCACATGTTTATGAAAGGGATTAGCACATGTTTAACAATGTGAAATAACTCACAACTGAGACACTTAAGAAATTTTTAGAATAATTTTTAATAATGTTTTTTGTGACTAATGCTACTTAATGGCTTATCATTTTTATCACTTAAAGGTATGTAATAATTTGTGTTTAAATGAAAATATGTTACTTGGGTCTGGGAATAAGGCTGAAATGGTCATTGGTGCCTTTTAATTATGGCCTCTGAACATATTTAATCAACTGTAAGCTTCTTATCAAAAAGAACTACAAGAGTTTGGTTTTTATATGGCATACATAAAACCAGAGTTTCAATACAGTACTTCTTGCCAATAACTTAAATTATTCTTGCTTTAAAGGTGTCATGGAAGACTTGAGGAAGTACAAAATTATTTTCATGATCGGTGAGTAACTGTCCTTAAATTTTCTAATACAATTGCTTAATAATAACAACTTGGTAGTGGAAAAGGCTATTTCATTTCTCATTCTGTTTTGAAGTCTTGCTTTTTCTCTTGCTTTTTTTTTTGGTGAATATAAAAACCAGACACTTTTGGATTGCTGCTTTTATTTGCACAATTTCATATTGCTTTTGGATTTGTATCTTTTCAGCACAGACAACGTAGAGCTCTAAATGGGTCCTTACCGCTTCAGCACTCTGTTGTATGGGATGGGACCCTGGCCTGTCTCCCACATTCAGTCGCCCGCCAGATACTTACTGCCTGTCAAACCCATGCTGGCAATGAACAGGGATCACTGAGTTTCCATCTTCCATGGAAAGAACTAATCAAATTATTATCACAAAATTAGGAAGGATATGACAAGCCAAAACAGCACAACCTGCGTGGAGTGTTTGGGATAGAAGTGAGTTTTTACTTTATACAGGGTGATCAGGGAAGGCTTCCCTGTGGAGGTGACATTTAAGCAGGGAACTAAAGGAAGAGATAGAGCCACTGAGGGGATTCATGGGAGGTGAGAAAAGGAAAAATTCCAGCCAAAAAGAACATGCCTTAAGCAGTGACAATTCTTGAGCCCAACCTGAATGTTATTTCTGACCTACTTGCATCTAGTTGACTTTAACCTTGGGATCTGGATGGATTCTTGCCACATTTAATTTACATTCTTTTCAGAAAGTGAAAGTACGTTATTTCTACTCCTTACTAAAGAGAAACTCATCATCATAATTTCAAAGAAAATTTCCCTTTCCACATAAACTTTACTTAGTTTTCTTGGCAACAAGGCCAAGACACAATACATTCCACTTTCTGTTTAGCTTTTATCTTAGGGATCAAATTAGAAAGAGGAGAGACTTTTTAAACTTGATGTGCAGGAATCCAAAGAATGAGCCTCTATTGTCACGTAGAAATCTGCATCTTTATCAATATCATCCAAAAACAGCTTTGAAATATAATACAGCATATTTTGTGGTGGTTGTTCTGCATCTAGCATTAATATTATTTCAGATTTACCCATTGTTTAGCACTCACAGTTGAATTTTAAAATAGATTTTCAAATGTCACTTGTATGTGTCTAGGACAAAATTTTCAGCTCACCTGTTCCTAAGTCCTGTGCCCTTCAGAAGGTCAAATAGCACAATATAAAACCTTTGGCATCAGACAAAGCTTGAGACCCAAAGGCTCACAGATCACACTCGGAACTGCTGCTCTGAGCAAAAGGCTTTTCTTATATCCTGTATAAGTAAGCTCTGTAAACTCTCCTGTATATCAACTTATTGGTCAGTCACTGTCCTAGTGAAAAAAAAAAAAGGATTCCAGCTTATTGTTTGGGCAGTAGAAGATACAAAGCCACTGTGATATGAGTAAAAATAATTGTTCTTCTGGGGTATTTACTGGGCTCTGCTTGAAAACTAAGGTCTTGGTTCCAAACACTTCCTGGATGGATGGCAGAATGATACTTTAGGTACTGCAGGTCAATTTGAGCTTGTAAAAATACTCAGGATGTCATAGACATACCCACAGCAATTTTGATGAGTTTCAGTAAACAAGAGTCAGATGGTTTCAGTGAAACAAGTGTGGCTTTGTCTATATGAGAAGATGGCTGAATTTTTTTATTGTCTTAAATTATTGTCTTGGCATCTACCAGAATCACAGTGGAGCTGTAGTGTTAGCAGAGGCTAGTTTTACATCCTCGCTGTTAGTCATAAGATAAAATTAATATTCCTAAAGCACTCCTCCCCATTTCAAAGTGTCCACTAGTTCCCTTTTGTCCACAGAAAGGCCCAGACTCAGACTTGCCTTCAAAGTTCTCTCCCTGCTGGCCTGGGTGTGTCTTGCCTATTTCCCACTGCACTCCAAGTCTTTGGCTCCGACCCCACCTGCATCATTATCATCTCTTTAACAGTTTCTTGCTTTTGCCATTGTTTTCATTTGAAATGTCTTCTCCCCTAGCTAATCATGCCCGCAAGGTCAGATGTAAGTTCTGACTCCCTGTGAAGTCTTCTCCAGTCACCAGCTTCTACCTGTGAGCTCCTCCATTCCTTGGGTCTGCATCCCTCCTTTAGATACCCCAGAATGACTAGAACAACAAACATTTGTTGGAATCATGAGTTATTTAGGAAGCCTTGTGGTCAGTTTCCATAACAACTAAAATAGCAATTGGAGTTCCTGGAATGGAACTGACAGGCAGGTTGTTGCTGTTGCTGTTGCTATTTCTGGCAGGATGGTTTTCAGGTTAATGAGCCTCATTGGATGGTCCTTGCTCCATGTAGCTGCCACCCTCTCACTGAGGACAAGCAACATCAACTCCCTCCCTCCCCCTGCTCCCAAGTTGGTGCTCTTTCTCCTTCATTTGCAAAATAGTTATAAGTGGAGGTAGGTAATAACACTGCTGTCCTCTGAATGGAAAAAAATGGTCCGGGAAAGTGGACCAAAGGTAGCAGGGGTGGACCTAGCCGGCCCTTTGAATGTTTTGTGACTATTACCTCTTTGTTCATGAAGAAAGCAGCTCGGTAGCTGTTTATAGACAAATACTTCCAAAGGATAGATGAGGATTGCACAGGATAGGGCCTGGTGATCAGAAAGATTAAAAAGGTCCTATGGGCTTTGACTATTCATATGAAATACAAGAACTGTGCTAATATTATAAGACCGGAACTCAGTCATTAGTGAAAATGAAAAATTATTTGGAAAATGTTGAAGTATTCTTATTATATCCCACCAACAGGCTCCCACAGCTTTTCACAACATTTTCTGGTACATTTCTCTTCTTCTTCTTTTTTTTAATCTCTTGATCATTATCTATTATGGCTTCTTTTTCCCTTGTGTGCTTTTCATGGCCTGCCTATTCCCAAAATGGAACATGACCTGAATTCGTATTAATTCCTCTCTAAAGCCTTGGTAGAAGTGCGTCGGTTTGGAAAATCAACTTTACTGATGAGATGTGACACTGAATGGCATCATGATCAAGACACCGTCCGATGCCTTGAACTTTACTCTGCCGGGACACCCGCGGCCTTGTGTACGTCAGCACTGGTGCTGATAAACTGCTTTCAGCAGTAAGCTTTGAGAGGCGCTTGTAGAATGTTTTTGTGTTGTTCTGTGCATTTTTGATCACTGCCCAACTAGTCCTATTTCTTTCCTGGATGAAAACTGGGGCAATGCGAATTTTTGCTCAAAACTTAATATTTGAGTGAATAAGTCTAATTTTTAAAGAGTATTTTCTTGAGGCTCAAGTTGAATGTTTTTGGTGGAGTTGACTCATATGTTTGGTTAGATGAAAAATGAAAAACAACTTGGTGAAAAAATAAAAGCAAATCTGATTGTTTTAAATAGAAGCCAATGTTCATGGAACACTTACACCAGGCACTATATAACATGCTTTATATCTTCTTTGGTGCTTGTATCCACTCGGTGGAGTATTATCACCATTCTGACTTTTCAAGTAAGACGTTAGAGAGTTAATTCACTACCAAGTGATGGATTGGGGCTTGGAGACTGGGATTTTTTCATTGGCAACAGATGCTTTCAATTGTGTGTTTGGTTTGGTTTGGTTTGTTCAGTTTGTTTTGAAGGAACGGCTTGCTTTATTTCTTTTCAAGAAAATGTCTGGCAGATACCGAAGTCTGAAAAACAGTAATTTATCTGTTAGTTGGTCTGTCAGAAAGTAAAAATGGTGGCCAGCTAAGAAAGCAACTAGTGAAACAACTCAAACACTCACCCAGAGCTTTTCCTTGAGAAAACTATCAAGTTTTCTTGGTGGGTGTGCTATCAGCCTCTGTGCTTCCTATTTTGTCACACAAAATATTACAATGAGGTTGGGCATAAGGGTCAGAATTAAATTAATCTTTTTCACTGCTCCATTAAGGGCATTCTTAAGTGATAGTGGTGTTTTTCTGTCTTTTCACTGTGAGTGCACAGTGATGAAGAATACATGGCTAGCAGACGTGGATCCACTGCCTTGATTTGCACTGCAGTTACTTGAAAAGCAAGTAACTTCTTAGTGTTGCAATGAAAGTAAGGGACTCCTGCAGTTAGTGGACCACACTTTGAGAACCACCACCTTCATTTTAATTGGGGGGGAGAGGGGAAGTGAGCAGGTATATGAAACCCCAGACTTAGCATTTAGAAGATTTGGGAGGAGAAGAGTCCCTTGTGCCTTCTTTTCACTTTCTTTTCCAGAACAAATAACCTCACAAATATGAGGAAGGGGTCAGGGAAAAGGCGGTGTATTTACTAAAAGGCCCTGTTTCTCTGGGCTCCTGTGGGCCTGGAAAGGTTCTGAATGTTTCTCTGTGCCCACTGGCAGAAGGATGCTTGTCAGAATAGAGCAAAGGGGGATGAATGCACCAGGAGGACCAGCAGGAGGCTCCAAAGCAGGGGCTGGAAGGAAAGTAGAAGGGGGACACCCCAGGGAACCAACAGCCCCGGGAAAAACCAGGACTGAAAAAAAGATAAAGAAAAGCTTTGAGGCAAGAGAGTAGCCCTGACATGAACAGCTTTGAACCTGGCTAAGTCTGCTCAGGCTGTTATAACAAAATACCACAGATTCAGTGCCTTATTCACAACAGAAATGTATTTCTCACAGTTCTGGGGACTGGGAACTCTAAGATCAAAGCACTGACAGATTCAGTAACTAGTGAGGGCCCTGCTTCCTGGTTCATGGACATCGGTCTGTTGCTGTGTTCTCACGTGGTGGAAGGCGAGAGAGAGCTCCCCAGGGCCTCTTTTATAAGGGCACTAATCCCATTCAGAAGGGCTCCACCCTCCTGTCTTAATCAACTCGCAAAGGTCCCACCCTCTGAATGCCATCACTATGGGCTTTAGGATTTAACATATGAATTTGGGGAAACACAAACATTCAGTCTATAGCAGAACTGGAGTGTCAAGGTTATCAGATATCATTGCACTGGACTAAGAGAACTAGGTTGGACTTGACTGAATTTCCACTA